TGGTTCGGGAGGCAGACACCCTCACCACATTCAAGAGTAGGCTTAAGATATTCCTCTTTGATAAAGCTTATAGTTAGGGCTGGATCAGGTGAGTCCTGAACCATCCTTTAGCTATGGATTAAAGGCCTAGACTATCGGGGGATTTCCGATGGTGCACTGAACTCCTCTCTTCCTCTCTCTTTCTGCACTCATTCATGTCCCATTAATGCATGTTACTAACTTCACTTCTTCCCCAGAGTTCTTGTGCTTTCCCTTCTCGCAGGTTCTTATTGATCCTGGTGGAGCCTCCTGCCATGGTCCTGCTAGATTGCCATTGCCAATACTGTTGTTGCTGTGCACCTGTCTGTCTGTCTCTCTCACTCTGTCTCTGTCTGTCTGTGTCTCTCTCTCTCTGTCTCTCTCTCTCTCTCACCCTAACTGGTCGAGGCAGACGACCACCCACCTAGAGCTGAAGGATCTGTCCTAGGTTTCTGCCTTTTAACAGGCAGTTTTGCCTTGCCCTTGTCGCCTAGTGCTTGCTCAAGGTGGTACTGTTGGGTCTCTGTAAATAATGTTATAAAGAGTTCGGTCTAGACCTGCTCTATTTGAAAAGTGTCTTGTGATAACTTCTGTTATGAATTTGCGCTATACAAATAAAATTGAATTGAATTGAATTGAATCTACATGTCAATATTTAGTCATTCTCATAGCACCCTCTACTGGCAACAGGAAATAACATATTTTGTACTTTCACATGCTACTCCAAGCAGATTGACCAGATCCAGCTGAAATCTGGTCAGAAGACCCATAGACCCGTTGATGATATGTTTTGAATCTGTGAGTTTGCATTGAGTGTCATTTTTGGGTGGCTTATTATGCTTGGAAACTCATGCAACTGTGACACAAGTGATAATTTTACATTTCATTGGTCTTCAAAGGTTGTATACACTTTTGGACCAACCTAGATCATACCATCAAAAACTACGACTGTCTGTGTTTGTTTTTTTGTTTCAGGTTGACTATAGCCTTAATAGACAGCTTTGTCTGAGAGAAATTAACAGAGTGGCAGTTTCCACACCTAATAGACAGTTTTAAAGGTAAGATGATCATTTTCATTTTTCACTTTAAGGTTAAGTGTGTAACATTTAGGAGGATCTATTGTCAGAACTGTAATATAATATTCACAGGTATGTTTTCATTAGTGTTTAATCACCTGAAAATAAGAATCACTGTGTTTTCGTTATCTTAGAATGAGTGGTTTTTATCTACAGAGAGAGTGGGTCCTCTTCTACGGACCACCATGTTTCTACAGTAGCCCACAACAGACAAACCAAACACTGCATAAATAGGGCCTTTCGTATTTTTTCTAGTTTTAAGGCTACCATAGTTTCTTTGACATGCTGAGCTGTGTTTAGCTAGTTGCAATCTGAAACTTTTCCACTACATGCCATTTAATCTAATATACAGGTCTTTTAAGTAGCCTACCTTTTTTGTAATGTTTCCTGCGTTCAGACCATCTCGAGTCTAAATAGCTACTTAAACATTGCCAGAATTTGGGAGTGACAACCACATTTATTATTGAGAGTGAATTTGCATATACAGTCTACCTACTGGTTAAACTGATTACCTTACATTCAGATCCAAAATTAAAACGTGTCATTAATCACACCTGTTCATATCTAACAATATATTTCAGGCATTTATAGAAAAGATTTGTTTTTTTTTATTGAGTATATATGTATTGTGTTGTCCCTTGTTTGTGAGGCTACATCCTGCTGACTACAGATAAAAACTATCTCTTTAGTTAAGACATTCATTCATTTGTAGCAACTTGTTAAACTGCCACAGACAATGGTGTTGTATTTTGTGTAAGCAGAGAGAGGGTGATGCGGTTCAGGATGTCTTTAATGGGGAGTTTTGTAAAACACATCCACTATTCTTGAAAGAGGTTTGTATCCCACTTCTATACAATGATGACACTGTTAAACCCTTTTGGATCGAAGCCTCAATTCACAAGTTATGATTTATATACTGTATTTCAAGAGCTTGCCATAAAATCTGCTATCAAGTTTACATTCACACTTCCTGTTAGCAGTGTGCAAATCAGATGATGGGAAGACCTATGGCCTTAATGTAGTGCTGCGAAGGCATTACTGTTGATGCCCCCAACTTTCAAGGTGTTGTGAAGTTCATAGTTGTCCAGATAGTGGGAGGTAATTTGGGCTTGAATGCCATTCTTGGCTACACTGAGAGCTTCAGAAGAAATTATGTGTGACGGTGGTGCAGAGCAAATAGAGATGTCTTGAGGGTGCAGACACTGGAAGATCCTGCACTATTACGCGGTGTCCATAGTCACAAGGTACATTTGTGTACAGCCAACATCTTCAAGACAGACCTGAAAAGAGACAGAGTCCTGAACAACTTGTCTTTTTATCATGTAACTAACAATGTAGTGCCAGACATTGTGTATGACATCCTCAATGGGGTTGGGCAATGTGATGTTAAGCTTGCGTTGAACTCACTGATTGAGCAAAAGCATGTCACAAGCTCAACTACAGAATCACAAGCTTTGATAATGGGTTTTGTGATAAGGGTAACAAACCCTCTGTGATTAGTAAGAATGATCTAAGGAACATTGATGGGTCCATGCGACAGTCAACAGCTCAAATGTGATGTCTACTTAGATTACCATCGACAAAGTGACCTGATCCACATGGAAAACAAGGAATGGAAACTTCTGCTGCTCTTGATCTTGTGTATGGAGTTAATCTTCTCTCCTTCTCTAACTGGTGCAGCAACATTGTATTGAGTAAAATCATTGTAGAGCATCACCCTCTCTTCCTGGACCACTTCATTCTCCATTACCCAAGAGTGATTAAAAAAATTGGACCCTTGCTGCAGTTGTGGACAATGCAATTTGAGGCTAAACATGGATTCTTCAAACATATTAGTCACGTCACATCAGCTTCAGAAACAGCCTGATGTCCCACAAACCTAAAAGTCTCATCTAAATTTCCCACAGAAGAACAAACAGCACCAGTGATATCATGTGTACTGCAGGTACTAATATTTGTAAATTCCACAGTTTTAAACTGAGGGATTCACTTTGTTTTTCACCACTAAACAGCAACAACCTTATCAGCTATGTTGAGAGCCTTGATGAGGATGGTATCACAATTAAGCAGAGACATTGCTTAGTCTGAATTCTGGTGTCACACTGTTGTCACACTTGGAGTATGGAGAGAGGTACACAAGAGTTTGTGGTGGAATGCATACTGCACTTTAATTTCAAGTTACAATGCATCCAGAAAGAATCACAAATTACACCACACATTCGATGGTGTAATTGAGTTTTTCTGTTTACAGACCTACCTCTGAGACCAAAAAGGCCTTGGCTACATTATTGGTTCAGGATTGTTCCTGCCTGAAAGACATATCAGGCAGTGGTTGCGTGAGTAGTTTTTTTTAACTTCATAGGAATTGATACTAACTAGAAAAATCTACATTTTGTCAATGTCAATGTGTTTGATCAATGTAATTCATAGAGTCTTGGTTGTGTAAAGTGGAAATTAGGAAAGACAAAAAGAATCAGAATCTGCCCCATCTAAATTAGCAGAAGATTTTAATTTCTTGCCAGGAAATATGATATAGCCAAGGCTGTAACCACCATCCAGCCACTGGATTCCTCAGGAACATCAGAACGAGGCTGAGATCTGTAAGCAGACCACAATCTGTACCCAAACTTTTTGAGACATGGCTGCCGGTGTATGCAGAGAAAATCCTGGTCCTGGCGAAACAGAAGGGAATCTCCGATTTCCTGCCAAAGAGATGACGCTGGGTAATTTGTTTTTGTTGTTGTTGTACAGCACACTTTGGAATATCAGTATTAGCATGGGCTTCATTATATTTCTTATGTAATCTAAAACATGCCAATCCACATTATTCACTACTTGTACCTTTAATTGGGGCCACAGCAGCAAAGTGCTGCGAGGACCCCATTGAAACTGCTGGGATTATTATTCTTAACCACAGTAAATCAAATTTTTGGAGGCCACAACATGCTCCAAAATTTATGAAACACACATGCTAGTCGTGGCGAAACATTACATATGCTATGGGTACCGCACATACCTCTGGAAGAATGGCTTCACAGCGCCCCCTATAGAGTAGCTCCAATGGCACGTTTCACTGAAAGCGTACAACCCATATCCCAAACCCAGCAGGAAGTCGGCCATTTTAGATGTAGTGGCCATGTTGGGCAATTTGCAAGCATTGTATTTTAATAAACTCCTCCAAGGAAACAGATTGATTTCTCATTTGGTCGGTATAATCTTGAAACCATTAGGATCAAAATTACACCATTTTGGAGTTTTCATCGAAGGGCGTGTCCCTGGTGTGGCGGTGAGTTTCCATCTTTCCTCAGAGTTGCTTCAGTGTCCTTTAACCAATCTACACCAAAATGCACGTTTGATAATACTCTGAACACATCTACATACAAATATTCAGTCATACTCATAGCGCCCTGTACTGGCAAAAGCACAAAAGCCTTACATAGCAATAATCATGGGAAGAGTGATCTGTGAAATTTACACAATGTATTGTATGTTTGATATGCTGGAACATTCCAACGTGTGTGGGTGCGAGAGCCCAATCATCGCTGCTTGCAACTTAAATTATAATCTGTCTCTCTTGAGTCCTCCAACTTTACAGCACTGGAATACGAAGTTGCACCAGTACCCCTTTGAGAGTCTCCCTTGACAATGATCTTCACTATGATAGGTGAGTGAGCCCAGAATAATAATCAAACATACTGCTCAGTGGCACACAGAACAAGGACTCAGTACAGATGCACTAACCATGATTGAAAGGCATGGTATAAAATATAGAGAGTATTAATATTAACTGAATACAGAAAATTTGACTTTTTATTTTATTTAATGGAACCTGAATTATTTGCCAACAAGTCTGATGATGTTTTTGAGGACAAACATTTCTGTAATCAATCAGCGCGTATGAGCGCACTCACCACCAGCACGTATTTGTTATGTATTTTTATTGGCTCTTTATCAGTTCTTATAATGTGTGGAAACCTTCTTTTAATAACCTCTATCGTTTACTTCAAACAGCTCCACACTCCTACAAACTACCTCATCCTCTCTCTTGCAGTAGCTGACCTGCTTGTTGGAGTCTTAGTTTTGCCTTTTAGCGCGGTACTGGCTGTGAGCTCTTGTGGGTATGTTGAAGATTTACTCTGCAAGATACGAGGCAGCTTTGATGTTTTTCTGTCCACATCTTCTATTTTAAACTTGTGCTTTATTTCTGTTGACAGATATTATGCAGTGTGTCAGCCTCTGAGGTACAGAACTAAAATAAATGTCCGTGTTATTGTGATCATGATCCTTGTGAGCTGGACTGCTCCAGCTCTAAATGGAATTAGCATGACATTTTTGGGAGTGAACAAAGGACAATCTAACAGGTGTGTTTTATTTCAGAATTTAAGTTCAGCAATTATGGCAATTGTTTTTGGGTTTTATTTCCCAGCTATTGTAATGGTCACTATCTACTTAAAGATTCTGATGGTGGCACAGAGACAGGCACACAGCATCCACAACACAACCTGTCAGAGCACAAAGTCTGAAATTAAGAAGGAGAGAAAGGCCACCAAAACTCTGGCTATTGTAATGGGAGTTTTTCTTATGTGTTGGACTCCTTACTTTCTTTGTATGACCTTTAACCCTTTGAGTAATTACACAATACCTGTTGCTGTGATTGCAGCATTTAAGTGGCTTGGATGGTCAAATTCAATGCTCAATCCATTGGTCTATGCTTTCTTTTACAGCTGGTTTCGATCAGCTTTCAGAATAATAATTTCTGGGAAAATATTTCAGGGGGATTTTACGCATTCTAAGCTCTTTTGACTCATTATTTGAAGCATGGAAATATCAGTAACATCCTCCTTAGTTTGGTACATACCATCTCTTTTGCACTGCATGTCATATATATAGGCCTTCTTAGAAAAAGGTCACTGTACTATCCATAAAGTATGTATATAACTTGTAAAAAATCTAAAGTGTATATATTTAGTTATTGATGCTGCATCTGTTGAGTTCATGAGTATGTCATTGAATTTTTGTCTTTGTGAACAAAGCTTTAAACAGTAAGGAATTAATGAATGGTGAAATCATCTTTCTCTTAGATTAGTTTTCAGTTTCATTCAATCAGTCTAAATATTAAATAAACTGGGTAAGCAGGGTAGCTGTAAAGTACTGAATAAGACTTTTTCATTTACAGATTCTAAGATTCAAATCAATTTACGTAGCAAATTTAAGTTGTACATTTTCCACAACACTATGAAGATAACAGTTTCACCAAACAATAGCTAATTTAAAAAGTGTCTGAGCATTGTCTCTGTGTATCCTGTTAATGTATTCATGCAATAATAATAATAATAATTATTATTATTATTATTATTATTATTAACTATTTACTGTGTCCACAGTATGAACTGTATAATTTAAAATGGACATAGTCTCTGTGACATCACCCATAGGTTCCTGAAGCTCAATGTGGTCGGCTGTGGCCATCTTGGCAGTCTTTTCTCTGCCTAATCCAAAATTGTGTGTGTGGGAGTGTTTTTATTTTTTTCAGTTTTCTAGCCATGTTGCCTACTTGCAAGAAACATGAACTTGGAAATGTTGAGTTTTATGTTAGAAATATAAAATATGGGTCCTCAACATATAGAAACTGCCGGATGCTAACTTGCAAATGTTGGGCAATTAGCATCATTAGCATTAGCACATAAACACCTATATAGACACAATTTTACATATGGTTTATCATTTAATTAAGTTGATCAAATAATTAACACATCAACAGTTAATGTAACTACCAACAGGTACTCTATGTAGTGACCCTTCTCGCCAGCTTAAATCCTTAGAACAGTCTTTAAAATGGGCCATAAAAATGCACCCAGTGTCAATGGCAAGAGGTTGGTCAAGGCCTTCTACTACTCCAATGGCCAAAGATTGAGCCTACCATACAAGGACAACCACCAACCCCTTGGCCACAGCCTCAGCGAAGGATGACAGACACAGTAGGGAGATGAGGGGCCTAAGTGGCAGCAGACTTTCAATTTTGGGGCGATTCTTGCAGCACAAAGGAAACTATCTAAAACTAGGTTAAAACTGACATACACTGATAGAGCTGCACCCACCATACAGATGCAGCTGCCATCCTGTTGGCAACAGCTTTTTGGAGAACGATGGATACAATAAGGAGAAGAGATGCCCAACCGACACTAAGCATGCACTTTGTTTGAACCCTTTTTTCTGAAAAGTCTCTTGAACACTTACCAAATGTGTACAACATGGATTTCCTACTTAGGAGCCTTGAGAACCTTTTGCAGTCATCTCTTTTTCCAGAATACTGCAATTTCTCTTGCCATTTCCCTCTTGCACTAATTTGATTGCATTATTAAATAAAAAAAATTTGCATTTTTCTTATACAACATAGAACAAAACAGCTCAAACATGACATAAATAAAATTAGTGTGTAAGAATAATAAACATAAGTAAGATTAATGGATATTAAATCCATCCCCAACACTCAAAGTCGATCTGATCAATGCCAAAGGAGGAATTTGTTAAAATATCATGCATTGAAATGGCGCCAAAATTGGACATTAAATTCAAAATGGTCAAATTCCTGTTGGGTTTAGGATATGGCTCCCAGAGGCTTTGCACTGCATGTTCAGTCTTCTTATAATTTTAATATATTTTTTCAGAGTTGTTTGGGTTTTTTTGCTGTGCTTTTTACATATGGTTTGTTGTCTCAATGCAAGAAAGTTGATCAAAAAATATCAAAAAATATGAAGTAAATCAAGTAAAAAACAGACAAACTCAATCCAATGTAATTAACAAATCGACAATAAATGTACATTGTAATGACCCCTCACGCCAGCTTAAATCCTGAGGGCAGTCTGTAAGATGGGCCAAACAAGTGTACACAAGTGGTGTCGAGTATGGGTGGGTGTCAAATCCAATCAGACATCATTCAATGAAGTCGGATCTATAAAGCAGATAAAGTAACAGATTGAAACAAAACATGTAGCAGGTTTAAAGGAGCAACCTGTCAGTGCCACAGGGAGTTGTATGATTACTCACATTGATCTACATAAAATTCCACTCCCTTGAACAGAATATGCAAATGAGCCCACAATAATGAATCTACTCAGTGTGTGGTCAGTGGCACAGAGAGCAAGGATTCTCATCCGTACAGATGCACAAACCAGGATTGATGTGCATCATGTGAAACATACAGAGCACTAAACTTTATTGAAAATCTCCGGAAACTTGAAATCTTTTTTTATCATTTATGCATGGAACATGAATTATTTTCCAACAGGTCTGATGAAGTTTTTGAGGACAAACATTTCTGTAATCAATCAGAAAATGTATCTGGTATGAGCGCACTCACCACCAGCACATATTTATTATGTAGTTTAGTTGGCTCTTTATCAGTTCTTATAATGTGTGGAAACCTTCTTTTAATAACCTCCATCATTTACTTCAAACAGCTCCACACTCCTACAAACTACCTCATCCTGTCTCTCGCAGTAGCTGACCTGCTTGTTGGGGTTGTTGTTTTGCCTTTTACCACAGTACTGGCTGTGAGCTCTTGTTGGTATCTTGAAGATTTACTCTGTAAGGTTCGAAACAGCTTTGATGCCTTTCTGTGTACATCTTCAATTTTGAATTTGTGTTCTATTTCTGTTGACAGATATTATGCAGTGTGTCAGCCTCTGAGGTACAAAGCTAAAATAAATGTCTGTGTTATTCTGATCATGATCCTGGTGAGCTGGACAGCTCCAGCTCTAAATGGAATTAGCATGACATTTTTGGGAGTGAACCAAAGACAATCTAACAGGTGTGTTTTATTTCAAAATGTAAGTTTAGCAATTATGCCAATTGTTTTTGGGTTTTATTTCCCAGCTATTGTAATGGTCACTATCTACTTAAAGATTCTGATGGTGGCACAGAGACAGGCATGCAGCATCCACAACACAACCTGTCAGAGCACAAAGTCTGAAATTAAGAAGGAGAGAAAGGCCACCAAAACTCTGGCTATTGTAATGGGAGTTTTTCTCATCTGTTGGACTCCTCTCTTTCTTTGTATGACTTTTAACCCTTTGAGTAATTACACAATACCTGTTGCTGTGATTGCAGCATTTAAGTGGCTTGGATGGTCAAATTCAATGCTCAATCCATTGATCTATGCTTTCTTTTACAGCTGGTTTCGATCAGCTTTCAGAATAATAATTTCTGGGAAAATATTTCAGGGGGATTTTACGCATTCTAAGCTCTTTTGACTCATTATTTGTTTTATTTGTAATATCATTATTCGTTTGGCACAGAAGATCTCTTTTCCACTGCATGTCATATATATATAACGTGTCTGTATGTTAAAACAGTATGTTAGTAAGATGACTATATCTCATAGTTCGCCTCATTCACTTTATATATTCAGTTATAGATGCTGCATCTGTATGTTGAATTCAGGAATACATCTATGAATTTTTGAGACACCAAAATACAGGATTAAAACAATGAAAAAATATATATTGGCGTGTGTAGTTTTCTAGCCATAAGACTGGTGATGTTATCAGAATCAGAATTTTTTTAAGTTGAGCCATACTAAAAACTAAAAGTCACACAGGCCGCAACATGCCCCAATACTCATGAAACGCGGAACAATCTTTGGCAGTGGCAAAAATGTTTGTGTCATAAGGGTTTAAACTGTATCATGTGCAAATGTAGAAAAAAGCCTCTTGGACCCATACCCCGAACCCAACAGGAAGTAGGACATTATGAATTTAGTGTTCATTTTTGGACGTTTGCACGTGTTGTACTTTAACAAACACCTCCTAGGGATTTGATCAGATGGACTTTAAAGTTGTTCAGTATAATCTAAATTAAAAAAAAAAGGTTTTCGTCAAAGGGCATGTCAGAGGTTTAGGATTGAATTATGATCTTTCGCGAAGAAACAGTAATTGTAACTTGTCCAATCAGCACCAAAATGCACATGTCTAGCACAGTGTCATGTTCTATAGTTTAATGTCCTACTACTTACAGGTTGACCAGGTCCAGTTGAAATTTGGTCAGAACACCTTTACCATGTTGATGATGATACGATTGAATCTTGTGAGCTTTTGTGAAAATCTGTTGCTTGGGCAACACAGCAAATTTAATTTTAACAGCTGATGGCTTTTTTGAGAGACTAAAAATGAAAAGCTCAAGATATTCGGCACACATGTTACAAACCACAAAGATTTACACCTCATATGGGTCTTGCGCGTGGGTGTGGCAAAATGGCTCGATAGTGCCCCCTTCAAAATTTCAGAAAGGCAGCCCAGATGGCCTGTTTTGACATGTCTGAAAATCAGTAGGCGCATGTATCATGTCCAGACGTACAAAACACACACTTGGATCCAAACCTTCATAGATATAGAAACATAGATATCTCATTGGTCACTGCTGAATGCCGCCGCTATACGTTTGCACGGCCGCCATATTGCAGGGGTCCACATCCACTAGTTTTCATAATGATAGATGCAGACTTCATACTACTGACTGTTACTCACTTGCTTCCACAATTTCAGTAAGCAACATCTGTTACCTATGACGTACTGCACAGTTTTATGACCTGTCAAAACTGGTACGAATGTCCACAAAACCTTTTAAGAACAATTTCAAAACATTGCAGTATTCATTTAGATATTTAAATTGTTAATTATTTCCCATTTTAACAGTATTATTACTGTTGCTGACCATTTAATATTAATTTTAAATATGTGCATTCTAATTTATGTACAGATCAATGTTATTTGTTATGATTGCTTTGGTTATGTAGCCTGTTTACTTGCATTATTGTTATTTGGACAACACTTTGAGATTGATCAAGCAAGTTGTTATTTATCACACCCAACGTGATGGCACATTATACTGCATCTCAGCATGTAACTCTCATGTATTCTATATTATGTGTAGATCCCCATACAGACACTACAGAATAAAAGCTATGAGAATAAACTGTGTGAATTAAACTTTGTTTTTTAATACTATCAATTAGGTTTTCAATCATGACAAACATACGCACTCAATGGCACTCCACATGTACATGTTCCATATAGAGGTGGGGTATTCTTAGATCACACGGTCCGTGTATCTTTTGGTCATTCGATTTTCCTTTTCAGAAACGGGTATTAAAAAACAGAAAACGATTAAAAATTATTCGATTTTCATTTTCTATTTCATATAACAAAAAATAAAATCACTAGAAAACAGAAATGGAAAAAAGGCCTGTTTTTCGAGCAAGGTACGTTTTATCAGTCTGTTTTCTGGGAATAATTGACACAAGCAGAAACCAAAAAACAAGCCGTTTTTTCGTTTTGTCAAAAAAACGAAAAACCAAAGTTCATTACAGAATGCAAGTGTGTGTTATATTGAAAGCGAGGCTGGGTGTGCCTATGAATATAGGCTACAGTGAGTTTTTTAAGGTGCTGTACAAGCAAATCATATTGTCTACTCTGTACAGTGACAAAGAGTGTACAGTAACCTACTTCATTCAATATTGAATAGGCTACTGTAGCCTACACTATAAACAAATGGTTTTGCTCTTTGCTCATGGCAGTTGTGACAGTCATTTTAACATGTCAGCAGGCAAGCTTCACTCATTCCAGGATGTATTATGCTTTGTCCTATAGCATACTTGGAACATGTTTTGAAATGGATCTATAGTAGCCTATAGAAATTTGCTCACAACAGGCCGGCTGGAATACAAAGCAAACTCTCTATCAAATGCACATTTATGGAAGTCTTGTATTGTCAAAACACAAATAATGCTGCAATGTAATAATGTAATGTAATATACATCTTTAAATGCACAATAATGAGTAATTCAGAGACTTATGAAATGTTTTTTAAATGTTAAAATGACTGTCACAACTGCCATGAGCAAAGAGCAAAACCATTTGTTTATAGTGTAGGCTACAGTAGCCTATTCAATATTGAATGAAGTAGGTTACTGTACACTCTTTGTCACTGTACAGAGTAGACAATATGATTTGCTTGTACAGCACCTTAAAAAACTCACTGTAGCCTATATTCATAGGCACACCCAGCCTCGCTTTCAGTATAACACACACTCGCATTCTGTAATCACCGTCAGTAAATAATAATTTGAAAACAATATAAAATATCTTTCAACAAGAAAAAATAATTTGTTTACTGTAAATGGATAAAGGTCAACAGATGCGCAAGGTTCAGCTGTCATGTAATAACTGCGCCACCTTGTGGCTAAACATCAACTGCATTGAAGTCGATTAAGAATGATTAAGAATACTATTATTGTTATTTGAAGCCGTGTCAGTCTTGACTGTGGGTGATTGGGTCCTCTGTGTCTGCTAGTGTCTATAATACAGTAATATTTTTGTCGACATCAAACGGAAGAACTTTTATTTTGAAGAGCACAGGGCAACGAAGCACACTAGCCAATCAGAGGACCCGCCCACCGACGGAAACAAGATATTGAGCCAAAAAACTAGTAAACGAGCTGAACTTTTGATTTTTCGTTTTTTTGACAAAACGAAAAAATGAAAAAACTGCTTGTTTTTTGGTTTCTGCTTGTGTCAATTATTCCCAGAAAACAGACTGATAAAACGTACCTTGCTCTTTTTCATATTCTGAGACCGGATGTTGTCATTTACAGGACGGTGCTGTGTAGAAGAAACAGTAGGCTAGTAGACTGCGGTCAAGCCAGCCGTGAGTTCGATCTCCGTGGTCAAATCAGCCGCACTTAAATTTCGAGTGTACAAGTATTCTCAACATTATGATGAATGCGGAGAAACAGCGTATTCACGTCCGGTTTTCAAAATAAAGGTATTTAGAACAGTAAGCTATAATTCGAACCTACATTTAAAATAAAATATGTTACATTAAAGTGTTTCATGCGCCCATGATGAATAAAAAACACTTCATATCAAGTATCTTTACTGCACCAGTGTGGAGAAATGCCAAAATAAAAGTCTCATATTTATGCCTCCAGAGATTGCATATTTGACCATATTTGAGGTACTGTAAAAACATATTGCTCAGTGTTTCCTGGCTACTGATGGTATATTTGACTTTTACACACTTTTAAATGTAGGTTCCGAATTATAGCTTACTGTTATTAATACCCTTATTTTGAAAACCGGAAGTGAATACGCTGTTTCTCCGCATTTACCATAATGCTGAGATTACTTGTACACTCGAAATTTAAGTGCGGCTGATTTGACCACGGAGATCGAAGTCACAGCTGGATTGACTGCAGTCTACTAGCCTACTGTTTCTTCTACACAGCACCGTCCTGTAAATGACAACATCCGGTCTCAGAATATGAAAAAACAGGCCTTTTTTCCGTTTCTGTTTTCTAGTGATTTTATTTTTTGTTATATGAAATAGAAAATGAAAATCGAATAATTTTTTAAATTTCGCTCATCCCCTTTTGACCATGAAAAAGAAAAACGCCTTGTATTTCAATTTTAATTTTTGTATTTTAAAACAAAAATCAAATAACCACTCGTTTTCTGTTTTTTAATACCCGTTTCTGAAAGGAAAATCGAATGACCAAAAGATACACGGACCTCACACCCACGCCACTTGATAAAAGACTTCTGTGTAGGATACACCAGTGTTCCCTTGCTTACTGGACGTCTCTCTCTACACAAAACTAGAAACATTTAATTTTCTTGATTTAAGGTTTATTGATGTTGTGTCTGTTATGGTTGTAAACAGAATATGTGAGCACCTTATTATGTATTTTGTTGAGGGAGGGCCCCAGTTATTGCAAATGTTATCTCAGGTGTTAGTGATCATTTATGCATGGAATCTTAATTCTGTGTCAACCAAAAATATGTTGTTATAATGGGAGTCAATGTGTCCAAGTCGGGCCCGAGGTGAGAGGTTGTAGGTATTGATGCAAATCTCCTATCCTATACACCTTACAATAGAGGGGATCATGGAATTTTGAAAATAATAATAAAAACAAATCCTGGCCAAGTTTCATACAATTAGCCTGACCAATATATTGAGAATCAAACAAGTTAAAAAGGCAGAATGTACACGTTTGGTCCCCCAAGGTGCCTCGAGGGTTAAACTAGTATCCCTTTAAGAGGCTCCCTTGACAATGATCTTCACTATGATAGGCTAGTGAGCCCAGAATAATAACCAAATATACTGCTCAGTGGAACAGAGAGCAAGGACTACCATCAGTGACAGGATTGACAGGCATGGTATGAAACATACAGAGCATTAATATTAACTGAAAGGTTCTCTCTACAGAAAATCAAACACTGTTCATTTTCTTGATTTCATGGAACCTGAATTCTTTGTCAACAGGTCTGATGATGTTTTTGAGGACAAAAATGTTTGTAATGAATCAGAAAATGTATCTGGTATGAGCGCACTCACCACCAGCACATATTTGTTATGTATTTTAGTTAGCTCTTTATCAGTTATTATAATGTGTGGAAATCTTCTTTTAATAACCTCCATCATTTACTTCAAACAGCTCCACACTCCTACAAACTACCTCATCCTCTCTCTCGCTGTAGCTGACCTGCTTGTTGGGGTTGTTGTTTTGCCTTTTACCACAGTACTGTCTGTGAGCTCTTGTTGGTATCTTGAAGATTTACTCTGTAAGATACGAGGCAGCTTTGATATCTTTCTGTGCACATCTTCTATTTTGAATTTGTGTTCTATTTCTGTTGACAGATATTATGCAGTGTGTCAGCCTCTGAGGTACAGAACTAAAATAAATGTCCGTGTTATTGTGATCATGATCCTGGTGAGCTGGACTGTTTCTGCTATAAATGGAATTACCATCACAATTTTGGGAGTGAACCAAGGACAATCTAATAGGAAGTGTGTATTTCACATTACAATAAGTTTAGCAATTATGGGAATGGTTTCAGGGTTTTATCTCCCAGCTATCACAATGTTCAGTATCTACTTAAAGATTCTGATGGTGGCACAGAGACAGGCACACAGCATCCAGAACACAACCTGTCTGAGCACAAAATCTGAAATTAAGATGGAGAGAAAGGCCACCAAAACTCTGGCTATTGTAATGGGAGTTTTTCTCATCTGTTGGACTCCTTTCTTTCTTTGTATGACCTTTAACCCTTTGAGTAATTACACAATACCTGTTCCTATGATTGCAGCATTTAGGTGGCTTGGGTGGTCAAATTCAATGCTCAATCCATTTATTTATGCTTTCTTCTACAGCTGGTTTCGATCAGCTTTCAGAATGATCATTTCCAGGAAAATATTTAAAGGTGATTTCACTCATTCTAAGCTCTTTTGACTCATTTGAGAGCAAATGTCAGTAATATCTAGGGGTGGAAGGATTCACAAAAATTCACAGTTTGGTTCATATTTCTGTTTTGGGGTCACACACACTGTCTTTTTCATGTTTTACATTTATTTATTTGGCTTAAAATGTTGTTTGCATAGCCAGAATTCTAACTAGTAACATACAGAACATTCTCATGTCCTTATTAAAATAATAGGTTGTTTAATTAGTGCAAACAAAAATACTGCTTTAGTTTAACATAAAAACTGCAACATTATCAATCACATGCTGAACTTATATTTATCTATTGAAACTATTTGGAAGAATAGGCTACATTACCCTTTTTCTAGTACATTAATTTCTTTTTTACTTTACTTACTTACTTAATTTACTACAGAACTCTCAAACTGCTTTAATCTGCTTATCTTGCTCCCTTCACTACTCTTTTCCACACATCCACACACCTATGATCTGTTCATTATGAAACTGAGGCGGCATAAATCAGACCGTAGCGGCCCGCCATTGTCTATGATTGATGGGAAACACTGTCCCTTGTTTCTTTTCTTAAAATGCCTTTTTGACCTTATAGCCTGTTTTAAAGGAACTGAACAATACATACATGCCCCGAACCTTGACTAGCAAACCAAATGATAGGGATGATTTTCTTGAACCATTCCACTCCTAGTCATATCATCATCAGTTTGGCATTTAAGATTTACATCTCTTTTCCACTGCATGTCATATATATAGGCCCTCATAGAAATTGTCACTGTACTATGCATAAAGTATCTGTATGTACAACTCAGTGCACAGACAGGAATACATATTCAACAGTACATATGGTAATCTCAATATAAAAGTATAAAGTATAATATCACTTTGTTTGCCGGATTTACTGTATATATTCAGTTTTAGATGGTGCATCTATACTCCTCAGCCACTTCGCTCCTAAAATCTCTACCTTGGGTATGGTAATGCATGTACATATTTATATGTATATATGCATATATATAGACATATATGTTTTTTTTATTAGTTGTTTGTAAAGCACTTTGTAATGCTGTGTTAAAAAGTGCTATATAAATAAAGCTTTACTTACTTACTTAAACTGACCTGTTAATGAATGGTGAAATTATTTTTCTCTTACAGTAGTTTTCAGTTTAATCACGCTAAATATTAAATAGAGCAGGGTAACTGTAAAGTACTGAATAAGCCTTTTTCATTTACATATTCTAAGATTTAAATCAATTTAAGCAGCACATTTTCCACAATTTTATGAAGATTACACTGAATAATGATAAAATCTAGGCTTCACTGTACAAAAATAGTACAAAGTGTCTGAGTTTGGTCTCAGTGTATCCTATCAATGTATTCATGACACAAACATCTACATCTTTTATTGTACAAGCAATTCTTTGCAGAACTTAATAAGTTCTCATTCTCTCTGTTTTGACACTTGCACACAGATGCTCTGAATCTAAGCAGACTAAGCAGAGAACCTGTCTGCTTTTGTGGTCCATGATGATCATGGCTATTTACTCTGTCCACAACTGTATAATTAAAAATGGGCCGAGAATCCATGTTGTCACCGAAATGTATGAAATTGGTACGCACATGGATCATGTCCAGAAATTCTATAGCCCAAGTAACTAGGGTGTATTTTGTCCAGTCTGCACCAGACTTTACATTTCTGATAAGAGTCTGAACACATCTAAAACCTGAAAGTCCAGAGTTGGGACCAGGAAGCAGAGCTGCTGTCTTTCACACTTCTCTGTGCTTTCTTTAGAACAGTCACCCACCCAAAACCCCATAGAGACTGCGTCTGTCCCCCGACCACCTAAATTATTTAAAGAAATAAAAACAAGAGGAGTTAAACATAAAAATCTAATAAAAATTAAAACTAACTCCTCAGTAGCACAAAATAAGAGAATGAAATGTGGACTGTTAAATATCAGGTCTCTGTCCTCTAAAGCTGTTTTAGTGAATGAATTAATATCAGATTATGATATTGATTTACTTTGTCTTACTGAGACCTGGTTGTCCCACGAGGAGTATGTTAGCCTAAATGAATCCACCCACCCCCCCAGTCATATTAATACTCACATTCCTCGAGGCACAGGCCGAGGAGGTGGAGTAGCAGCCATATATGATTCGAGCGTTTTAATGGACCCTAAACCTAAACTAAATCATAATTCATTTGAAAGCCTTGTTCTTAGTCTTTCTCACCCATCCTGGAAAACACTGCAGCCAGTTCTATTTGTTATAGTGTACCGCGCTCCTGGACCGTACTCTGATTTTATATCTGAATTCTTTGAGTTTTTATCAAGTTTAGTCCTTAAATAAAAAGTAATTATTGTAGGTGATGTTAATATACATGTGGATGTTGACAATGACAGCCTTAGTAACGCATTTATCTCATTAATTGACTCAATCAGAGTGTAAATAAACCAACCCATTGTTTTAATCACACTCTTGACCTTGTTCTATCATATTGCATTGATATTGAACATTTAATAGTCTTCCCACATAATCCTTTCCTATCTGACCATTATTTAATATCGTTTGAATTCATACTATTAGATTATAAGCCATTAGGCAAAACTTCCTACAGCAGATGTCTATCTGACAGTGCTGTAGCTAAATTTAAGGAGGAGATTCCTTCAGTGTTTAATTCAATGCCATGTCTGAATTTAACAGAGTCCTATAATAACTTTAGTCCCTCCGAAATTGATAATCTTGTCGATAGTGCTGCAGGCTCACTACGAAGAACATTAGATTCTATCGCTTCTATAAAAAGGAAATTATTAAAACATAGGAAACTAGCACCGTGGTACAACCACCAAACCCGCCAGTTAAAACAAATAGCTAGGAAATCTGAAAGGAAATGGCGCTCTTCCAAATTATCAGAATATCGCTCAATTTGGCAAGATAATCTTAAAACCTATAGAAAGGCCCTCCATAACGCCAGAGGAGCCTATTATTCAGCACTAACAGAAGAAAATAAGAATACCCTAGGTTCCTCTTCAGCACTGTAGCCAGACTGACAGAGAGCCACAGCTCTATTGAGCCACATATCCCCATATACTTAAGTAGCAACGGCTTTAAAAGCTTATTTTATAATAAAATTATTACTGCTAAAAATCACCAACTGCCATCAACAGTTATCAGTGGCTCTCCAAGTTCAGGAACTTTAACTAATGTAAACTTAGATATATATTTAGACTGTTTTTCTGCTATCGATCTTCATCAGTTAACTTCAATAATTTCTACATAGAAGCAACCTGTCTGTTGGACCCAATCCCAACTAGACTGCTTAAAGAAGTTGTACCCTTAATTGGCACTTCTTTACTGGATATGATTAATCTTTCTTTATTATCAGGATATGTACCACAGTCCTTTAAAGTAGCTGTAATTAAACCCCTTCTTAAAAAGCCCACTCTTGACCCAGGGGTTTTAGCCAACTATAGACCAATCTCTAACCTCCCCTTCCTCTCTAAGATTCTGGAGAAAGTAGTCGCCAAAGAGTTGTTTGACTTTTTACATAACAATAGTTTATTTGAGGATTTTCAGTCAGGATTTAGAGTTCATCACAGCACAGAGACAGCTCTGGTTAAAGTAAATAATGACCTTTTGATTGCTTCAGACAATGGACCTGTCTCTGTACTTGTATTATTAGATCTTAGAGCTGCATTTGACACCATTGACCATAATATTCTTTTACAGATACTTGAGCATCAAATTGGCATTAAAGGAACCGCACTAAGCTTGTTTAAGTCATATTTATCAGATCGTTCGCAGTTTTTACATGTTAACAACAAATCTTCAATAAATACTACAGTTAGTCATGGAGTTCCACAAGGTTCTGTACTTGGACCAATACTGTTTACTTTATATATGCTCCCTTTAGGCAAAATTATTAGGAATCACTCCATTAACTTTCACTGTTATGCAGATGATACACAGTCATATCTATCAATCAAGCCAGATGAAATTAATCAATTATATAAATTACAAACATGTCTTAAGGACATAGAATCCTGGATGAGCTGCAATTTTCTGATGTTAAACTCCAAAAATCTTAGAGACACACTGTCTAAAGATATAGTTACTCTAGATGGCATTACCTTGGCCTCTAGCACCACTATCACGAATCTTGGAGTTATCTTTGATCAGGATTTGTCATTTAATTCCCACATGAAGCAGACCTCTAGGACTGCCTTCTTTCATTTACGTAATATTACAAAAATTAGACACATCCTATCACAGACAGATGCAGAAAAACTAATCCATGCATTGTTACTTCTAGGCTGGATTACTGCAACTCTTTATTATCAGGTTGCCCCAATAAGTTCATTAAAACGCTCCAATTAATTCAAAATGCTGCAGCATGAGTACTGACAGGAACTAGAAAAAGAGATCACATCTCTCCTGTACTCCCTGTAAAATTTAGAATAGAATTTAAAATTCTCCTCCTCACCTATAAAGCTCTTCATGGTCAGGCCCCTTCATATCTTAAATAGTACCCTATTACCCCACTAGAACACTACATTCTCTGAATGCTCGGCTACTTGTGGTTCCTATAGTCTCTAAAAGTGGAACAGGAGCCAGAGCCTTCAGTTACCAAGCTCCTCTCCAGTTGTAGTTCTGGAGGCAGACACCCTCACCACATTCAAGAGTAGGCTTAAGACATTCCTCTTTGATAAAGCTTATAATTAGGGCTGGATCAGGTGAGTCCTGAACCATCCCTTAGCTATGGGCTAAAGGCCTAGACTATCGGGGGATTTCCCATGGTGCACTGAACTCCTCTCTCTCTCTCTCTCTCTCTCTCTCTCTCTCTCTCTCTTTCTGCACTCATTCATGTCCCATTGATGCATGTTACTAACTTCACTTCTTCCCCAGAGTTCTTGTGCTTTCTCGTCTCGCAGGTTGTTATCGATCCTGGTGGAGCCTCCTGCCATGGTCCTGGTAGATTGCCATTGCCAATACTGTTGTTGCTGTGCACCTGTCTGTCTGTCTGTCTCTCTCTGTCTCTGTCTGTCTGTCTGTCTGTCTGTCTGTCTGTCTGTCTGTCTGTCTGTCTGTCTCTCTCTCTCTCTCTCTCTCTCTCTCACCCCAACTGGTCAAGACAGATGACCACCCACCTAGAGCCGAAGGATCTGTCCTAGGTTTCTGCCTTTTAACAGGCAGTTTTGCCTTGCCCTTGTCGCCAAGTGCTTGCTCATGGTGGTACTGTTGGGTCTCTGTAATTAATGTTAAAGAGTTCGGTCTAGACCTGCTCTATTTGAAAAGTGTCCTGAGATAACTTCTGTTATGAATTTGCGCTATACAAATAAAATTGAATTGAACTGAATTGAATCTACATGTCAATATTTAGTCATTCTCATAGCACCCTCTACTGGCAACAGGAAATAACATATTTTATACTTTCACATGCTACTCCAAGCAGATTGACCAGATCCAGCTGATATCTGGTCAGAAGAGCCGTAGACCCGTTGATGATATGTTTTGAATCTGTGAGTTTGCATTGAGTGTCATTTTTGGGTGGCTAATTATGCTTGGAAACTCATGCAACTGTGACACAAGTGATAATTTTACATTTCATTGGTCTTCAAAGGTTGTATACACTTTTGGACCAACCTAGATCATACCATTAAAAAACTACGACTGTCTGTGTTTGTTTTTTTGTTTCAGGTTGACTATAGCCTTAATAGACAGCTTTGTCTGAGAGAAACTAACAGAGTGGCAGTTTCCACACCTAATAGACAGTTTTAAAGGTAAGATGATCATTTTCATTTTTCACTTTAAGGTTAAGTGTGTAACATTTAGGAGGATCTATTGTCAGAACTGTAATATAATATTCACATATATTATGATATGTTTTCATTAGTGTTTAATTACCTGAAAATAAGAATCACTGTGTTTTCGTTATCTTAGAATGAGTGGTTTTTATCTACAGAGGGAGTGGGTCCTCTCTGGATTAGGAAAGGAGTTTCATGGGGAGGTATAAATGCCACCTCAACACAAGTTGTCTGATCAACCATGGCTGGGTCGCCTGTGTGAGGGTGTCTGATGTTGAAAGACCCGAAACACCCAGTTTACCCCAGGTTACATC